GTTGGACTACATTCTAGCAGACGACACTTAGAATTCCGTTTACAGCTAGGGATTATAAGGAAATTCGGCCGATAAAAAATGGTGACATTTGGTAATAAGTGAAATCCGCCATTTTGTATTTGTCAAAGTATACATTAATACATTTTACCTTGATTGAAACTACTGAATTTATTCTACTAGCTGATATTGTACAGAAAACCGATGTTTATCAAAACAAGCAAATGTGGAGGTCATGCAAGGTCGCTCATGTAAATTATTAATCATTTCAGGAAATGCACAAAAAATAGGTTAGCACAAAATTAGGTTAGTTGACTGTATAATATAAGGATTCAACACCCAATTTCGTCAAAATTTAAAAACAGAAAAATTTTGTTTATGTCTCATATGTTTCCTCGGATGTAATTTACAATAATTAAAATTGGTTTTCTCACATTGACCCATGTTGCATGAGTAACGAACTCGACAGGCAAAATGCTTATTTTGTGTTAAATGTTTGATCTATAAATAAGTCGAGAAAAAAATGTTGTATGGATACTCAGTGGTATAATTAACTTTTCTTAGTATTTATCTTTAATAATATTTCATTATAACTGACAATGCCTTCAAAGAACAACAATTAAAAAAAAAATAGTGTCTGACAAAATAAAAACATGGAAGTGATTTATTACTCAAAGTCATTAAAACAACATAACAATATGGCCACATATGGCCTGCTAGTATATCACATGATTTTGTTCATTGGACTACATTTTACCTTTTTGAAACTACTGGATTCATTCTACTAGCTGATATTGTACAGATAAAGCATGAAATATGTCGCACATGTGAATTATTAATCATTTCCGGAGGTGCACAAAAATTAGTTGGCACGGAATTAAGTTACTTGACTGTATATTTAGCAGTACAGTAACAATCACCAATATGAAATATTCAACCTTCAGTCATACACTTCTTTTGCACTTTTTGGGAAGTTTTGTCAAAATTCAGCAAAAATTGTGTCTTAGTCTTTACATGCTAAAAATTGAAATCGTATTCAAAAACAAGGGTAGTAACTCATACTAAATATTTTCATTGATTACATCCAACTTACACCAAGTTGTGTTAAAATCCATCAAGAATTGTGCCTTCTAGAGTGTTGATGAGCTTAACATTATTTATGCGTATTTAAGAACAAGGATAATAACTTGTAGTAGATATTTTTACATACAGTAACAGTTTACATACTACCAAAACTATTCAAAGTTATTGAACTTACTTTAGTAAAATGGCGTCAAAATTTTGTTGTGATAACAATAGAACAAATCAAAGCCAATCAAAAATAATGAGGGTTATCTATTTATAGTCTACTGTCAACTACATTAAAGTTGACGGAGCGGCCAAATTTGAAGTTCAATTATTGAAAGACAAGTTCTAAATAAGTCCAGAATTCATGATATTGTTGGAATTTGGAGTGTGCACATTTGAGGGAATTTAGAAAATACCTTTATCGTTCAGTGATGTGTCGATTTTGGCTCTGTTGACATTCGAAGGAATGACATCGACGCCGTGTAGTGGCCACGTCAATCAACAAATTCAATGATTAAAGTAGTCCGTTTAGGGGGAGAGCTTTTATTTTCATTCTGCTTACACAGATATATACCGAATGCACGTGACCGCTCGGCTGTTATCCAAGCAAATTTCGTGATACCGTGTAAAGAATCGTGATTTAATTATTATAAATTAAACATTGGTCTCAATAGCATTATTTGCCTCTAAATGACATTAATGACTTGAAAACACGTTCAATTTTTAGCTCGTAAACACTCTAGAAGGCACAATTCTTGACAGATTTTGATGAAACTTGGTGTGAGTGTTCTTAATTACCCAAGGATGAAACCTATTGAAAATCAGAAGAATCGAAAAATATTTAGTATGAGTTATTGCCCTTATTCTTGAAAACGCTTTCAAATTTAGCTCTAAAACACTAAAAGGCATGATTCTTGCTGGATTTTGACAAAATTTGGTTTCATTATTCAGTTCTGAAGATTGAATATTTGCCTGCTAGAGTTTTCACAAGCTAAAATTTGAACACGTTTTCAAGAACAAGGGCAATAACTCATTCTAAATATTTTTCGATTTTTATTCAGTATCGCCCTAAAGAGTTCAAAAGAAGTGTATGACTGAAGGTTGAATATTTCATACTGGTGATTGTTACTGTACT